TCTCTCTCTCTCTCTCTCTCTCTCTCTCTCTCTCTCTCTCTCTCTCTCTCTCTCTCTCTCTCTCTCTCTCTCTCTCTCTCTCTCTCTCTCTCTCTCTCCGTCTCACGTCGTTTCTGTCTCTCTCACACGATTGGATTCGCGATTGGCTTTTCACTATTAACATTTTGAAAAACAATCTACGATACAGCTTCACAGTAATTCTACGATGTTCGTGTCCGTAATTTGTCGCACTCGCGGATGATTCGACACACACCATTCACGTAATTTATCTTTCTCGTACTCGCGGCGGTCTCTCACGTGAACAATACAGCGTACTCTCAATGTATTTTCACGTCCTTATACACTTCTCTGATCTTCGACAGCATTCCAACGGTTTATGCCGCTTGCACTCTTCGATGACTTGTGCCATTTACTCTCGGACGAGCCCCCAAATTTGTAGGATGTTTTCTCATTCACAATGATTCGCAAAGACGCAACACCGAATCTCGCCGGACTCGCAGGACTCGCAAACTCACAGTCTCATCATGAAAAGGCAGCAAACTCGCAAAGCACACAATCACTCACTCGATCTCTCAATTACTCAATTGCTTTTTACAGCCAAAAATCCTCGCCACGCATACTCTCTCACTATCCGAAATCCACACACGCTTGCGCGCAGCACGCACACCGCTGCTCGCGCGACTTCTCCGGGCATGTACCCGCCACCCAACTTAAATACGTATTATCGCGCGGGAACTTAAACATCACACACACGCACGCACGCACGCACGCACGCACGCACGCACGCACGCACGCACGCACGCACGCACGCACGCACGCACGCACGCACGCACGCACATATATATATAGATTACGTTCCGATATTGCCAGTACTGAAAACATATAGTTCATGGCTTGATTAGGTGGCGCGAATGTGTGAGGGATAGCGAACGGATAAAACAGCGAATATAATTTGATAGAGAGTAAAGCGGAGGCGAAAAGCAGAGGAATAAGAATGAAAAGAAATGAAGGCAAAGTGGGAAAAGGAGAGATTGAAAAGTGACAGGAGAATTTTAGGACAAGTGTAAGGAAATAAGATTATGGCGGCAAAAGAGGTAGATTAGAGAGTGAAGATAAGACGGGAAAATTAAAGGAAAAAAAACAGAGAAAAATGCTAATGGAAGAAAAGGGAAAGGAAGAAAACAAAAGAGTGAATTTCAGATTAGGATGTAAGAGAATGTAATGAGGAGATAAATAGAATGAAGAGAGAGTTACGGGAACTGATAGAGAGAAAAGTTAAAAAGCTAAAAAGATAGCAGAAAGATGTGTAGAGAAAGGGGAAAAGAAGATTTATGGATGGAGAGAATGAATAAAATAGAGGAAAGATTAGAAAAGAAAAGTGGATAGAAAGACTAGCGGAAAAGGATGGGATCTAGAGGA